TTCGATAACTCTTCAGACTGAAAGATCCTTGGGGGCAAAGGATTTTGCATCCCTGGTACCTACTACTGGGCTTGATACTCAAAAGATGCTTGTAAATAAATGAATAGATGGATGGATGGATGGATGGATGGATGGATGGTAGATGGATGGATGATGAATGAATGAACAAGTGAACCACTGAGTTTGAAAATTTCTTACAGTATTTGATGGAAAGTGTTCAACAAAAGAAATGTATCTCTTCTATCTAATTACATCAGAAATGGGGCATTGTGCAAAATGGCATAGACTCTGAAGTCACACAAACCCAGATTTGAATCCTGCCTCTGTGTAACCCTGTGCAAATCATTTGACTACCCTAAGTCTCAGTTTCCCCATCTATAAAATTGGGCAATGTTAGGGTGCCACCTCTAGGAAGACGGGCCAATGAAACAATTTCCCAAGAGGATCCATGGGTGGCATTCATTATTTTGATGAATTTATTATGGACGGGGCCTAGCTCTCAGCCTGACAAAAAAAAAAAAAAACCATTTCATCAGCACATGGGGAGGGAAGCCATTTCTCAGATAGAGACCCACCTTAACCAAACTAGAAAGGTAGGTAGATAAGCAAGAATGCCAACTTATTAACTTACCATGAGAAATTATTTGGAATCTTCAAGTAACTAGCACATTTTCTCCCTTTGCGCAGCTATATTTGGGAAGTAAAACCATAACTAGAAGATTGCTTGTGATCAGGTAGGGGGACTTGGGCTGTAGTGATGGACCAGCCATTGGGAAACCTTCAAAAGAAAATGCTTGGATGGTCACTGACAAGGTTTGTCTCTGTCTCCTACAATGAGTTCGTACATCTTTGCTTTGTTCCATTATATATTTATGTTTTGGGGGGCATCTTATTTTCCTCACTTGAAGTGTCTCGCAGAAAGGCTTACTTCAACCCCTAAAATATTAACAATTAAAAGAATAACACCTTCCTCATCAGTGCAGCCTGCACGTCAGCAGCAGGGTCTCTCTGGCCCTCAAGCTCTGGATGTGATGGCTTAACTCCCCACATCTGCATCCTGTGAAAGTCCAAAGCCCATCCCAGATTTCAGCAAATCCTTGGGAGATTTGCGTTCTTGTGGTCTCCCCTTCCTATTTCCTCATGATCTCTGCTCAGTATTATATCAATCCAGACATGAATCACAGCTTCTTCACCAACTTCCACCGTAATAAAACCCAGAAAATCCCACTCACACAAAATCTTCATGAGTAAATTTTTCTAAAGAACTGAGGAGACAGGAGAGCTTTCACGAAGGATTCGTATACACACAGGATACAGCAAGCTGTTTAAAATCCATACTAGACATTCTCATTTTTCTAAAGTCCCTCTGACCACCTGACCCCCAGAGGTTCCTATCCTGACCCTTCCAACCAGCAACCCAGTCTCACTTCCTCCCCACATCTCTTTTCCCCTCCCCCTCCCTTCCCTCTCCTCTTCTCTTTCTCAGGCTCCTCCTTCTCCAGTGCATCAGACAAGTTCCTCTCTGACTCACACGCAGAGGTTCCACCTCCTTTCTGGAGCCATCTCCACAGCTGAAACCCAAGCCTGAGGATGTCACCTTCTAACTGATCAAAGTTACTTTGCAAACAAAGACTGTTCCTTTCTAAAATGAATTTGGGGGCCATCTCTTAAGCAAATAAAAGTATTTCCTACTCGATTGTGAAGTGACTGGGATATGCCTTCAATAAATAAACTTCCATCCACCCCTCTCGTTCCTCTCCCTTTATGCAATACTTAGTTGATCAACAATAATTTCATCATGACTAAGGTGTTTCTGCTCCTCTCCACATTCCTATGTTGGTTGAGAGGACACCCTCAAATAAAAGTCCCTCTTACCTGTATTTTCTCCACAGTTATTGGCTTTCAAAGACAGTCTAGTACCAAATGCTGGCTCCCCAACTTACTAGCTGTGTGATCTTCTGCAGGTTACTTAACCTTTCTGGCCTGAGTTTCTCCACCTGTAAAATGAGGTGATAGACTAGCTCATAGGTTTCTTGGGAAAATTAAATTAATTTATTCATGTAAAGTGCTTACTATATAGTAAGGGCTTGGTAAGTGTTAGCTGCTACATTTTTTTTAAGTCCCTTTCTCCTCATATAGCGTCACTTTTTCACACTATTTGACAAGACAAGAGAGTTTAACCTTTGCATTTTAATAATCCAGCCTTGAACTAGAGACTAAAGTGTCAGGGTCAGGGCTCGACTTGGCTCAGGGGCTATACCCTGCCGATAGCCTGGGCCACAGAGGATGGCCAGGCATTAAGTCAGTTGGGGCCTGCATTCAGAGACAGAGGGGAGAGTGGGGACGTGATGAAACCATAATCCAACCCAGAGTAGACTAAGCTGGAGGAGACTTGGACTGCCCTGGGTCTTGCTCTTTTCCGGGCCAGAGGATTCTGGTCCCAAGCCTGGGGGGTCCCAGGGCTGACCAGCATCAGGATGACCCAGCTTCCACCAGATCTGTCCTAGATCTGGTGTGAATCTCTCAAACCCCTCAAATGTCCTTAGTTTCACAAGAGGATGGGAAGAACTGAGACACCATGGATTCTCCCATGGGGCATAAAGGCTGCTTTCTCATGTCTGCAGCCCCAAGAATAGACAGACCCCTTGATGAAATGGCCACAGTGGTCTGTCTGGTTCAAGCTGTTGTTCTTATCGCCATATCTGATTGCTGAATACCATCTTCCCCCATAACCTACCCAGCCCTTGGAGCCTCTGCCCCTCACAGGAATAGGCTGGTTGGACTGCTCTGTGGCAGCCTCTGGAAAAACAGTGTTAGGAATGGAGTGGGAGAGGCAAGTATGGGTTGAGTGAAACCAGTACCTCCCAAGGTGGGCCTAGATGAGAGAGAGGAAGAGGGAAGTGAGAAAGCTTTGAGGGGGCTGCCAGGCCAGCTCCACAGGGCATGTCTTGAACGGGGAGACTAGGTGGGTCTTTCTCTTTCCAGAAGGCAGACTTGTCTGGGCCTAGACAAAGGGGGCTGGGCATGGAGATGTAGAAAAGGAGATGATAGCTCACCTAAAAACTACCTAAAGGGTACATAGCTACACAAGATCACTTAGAGTCTAGTCCCTACTCCCATGAGTACTTTCTCCATTTGGCCTTTTAAATTCTCCCTGTGGACTTGAATCCCCGCTGCGTGTCTTCGGGTTCCTGCTCATTCATGCTGCCGCGGCCATGTCAGAATGGAGCAGACAGGAAGAGAGGTTGCATGTTTTGACTCTCCTCCCTGGGGGTGGACCTGAAGAAGGGGCTCTCTCCTTGGTGCACTTTGCCACTGCGCACTGCAGGGAGAAGACCCTGGTCCTCTTTGCAGAAGTGTGTTCTTAAAGGAGGAAGCAGGCAGCCTGAGAACAGAGGCCTCAGCCCAGCCCAGGGTCATGAGCCCATGAGATGGAAGATGAGCCACAACTAAGTAGAAGGGGTTCTGGAGACTTTATTCAGGAGATGACTCTGGTGACTCGCTTCTTTCTGGGGCCAGAGAGAGTACAGTTTTATCATCTGGAGGGACATAGAGGGCAGGCAGGTCCTCCCCCTCTCTCCCTTGGCCCTGGGGTCTGAGACCGGAGCCCTGCAGGCTGGGGCCCGTGTTGGCTCCAGGCCCATCAACGCAGGTGCACAAAGCAGAATTCTTCTCTAAGAGGCCTTTGTTTTGGAGGAAGGGCTGAGCCTCGATGCTCCTTAGGTTTTGTTTGTTTGGGTTTTTTTATTTGTTTGTTTGCTTTTTTTTAAATTGCGGTAAGAACACTTAACATGACAGCTACCCTCTTAACAAAGTTTGAAGTGTACAATACGTTATTGTTGACTATAGGAGCAATGTTGAACGGCAAATCTCTGGAGCTTCTTCATTGAAGATAACTGAAGCTTTATGCCAGCTGATTAGTAATTCCTCATTCATCCACCCCTATCCCCACCCCCAGCCCTGGCAACTGCCATTCCACTCACTGATTCTATAAATTTGACTGTTCTAGATACCTCATATAAGTGAAATCATGCAGCATTTGTCTTTCTATAACTGGTTCATTTCACTCAGCATAATGTTCTCAAGGTTCATCCATGTTGTTACAAATTTCAGGACCTCCTTCTTTTTTAAGGCTGGATAGTATTCGATTGTATGTATATACCACATTTTCTTTATCCATTTGTCTGTCGATGGACATTGACGTTGTTCCCACATCTTGGCTATTGTGAATAGTGCTGTAATGAACACGGAAGTACTAACATTGTTACCGAACCTGAAGTGAGTTCGCTCACCCATTGCGCAGCAAGCCAGTCTCTGACACCGGGGGTGGTGGAAGAAAGTAGGAATTTTATTTTTGCACAGCACTGAGCAAGGAGAGAGGGCAGCTAACGCTGAAATCCCAAACTCCCCGAAAAGCTAAAAGGAAGGGTTTTTATTTGGGGTTTTAGGTAGGGGAGGGGGAGCATATGGCCTTGCTGGTCGGAGCTTCCCCCCAGCCTGTCTTTGGCCTTGAGACACTTGCAGAAAGAAGGAAGCCTGTGACCTTGCTGGTCAGCAGCTTTCCCACCAGCCCCGATCTCTTTGCGGGAGGAGAAAGTCCAGGTGCTTGTCCTTGACGGTGTCTGTCTCCATGGAGGATAGTGGATTCTGAAGCCAGGAAGCCAGAGAGTAAGCAGGGAATGAGTGTTTTGGTTTTAACCCCATGTATGCTGGGTTTAATGTGGGGAAACTGATATCAGGGTCGATATCAATATCTCTTCATGATCCTGAAAATAAACAAGTGAGACTACCTCAAACCAAAAAGCTCCTGCACAGCAAACAGTCAACAGAGTGAAAAGGCAACCTACTGAATGGGAGAAAATACTGCCCACCATGTATCTGATAAGGGGTTAATCTCCAAAACATATAAGGAACTCCTACAATTCAAAAAAAATTTGTTGTAAAAACAAAAAGAAAACAAATAGCCCAATTGAAAAATGGGATAAGGAGTTGAATAGACATTTTTCCAAAGAAGAATACAAATGGCCAACAAGCACATGAAAAGTTGGTCAGCATTGCTAATCACCAGGGAAACGCAAATCAAAACCACAATAAGATATCGCCTCACTCCTGTCGGCGTGGCTATGATCAAAAAAAGATAAGTGTTGGTGAGGATGTGAGAAACTGGAACCCTTGTGCACTGTTGGTGGGAATGCAAAATGGTGCAGCTGCTATGGAAAACAGTACAGAGAGGTCTCCAAAAGAGCTAAAAGCAGAACTACCATATGATCCAGTAATCCCACTGCCGGGTATTTATCCAAAAGGATGGAAGTCAGAATCTCAAAGAGATGTTAGTACTCCCGACTTTTTACTTCTCTAAGTCTATACTACCCAGCTCCCTAGAGCACATGGGTCCCTGTTGCTGCTAAACGCCACAAATAAAACCTCACATCCCAGCGTTAACGCCAGGCAGAATCCTAAGCAGCCCACCCCCCGCCCAAACCTGCCTTCCAGGGACAGGGGAATTTTGCTCCCTGCCTGAGGAGATCTCAGCCCCTGCCGTGACAAACCCTAGGGGAATGTGCCCAGCGACCCGCGGGAGGTCCAGACACGCCAGGCTGTGGCGAAATCAGGCCCCGGTCAGCGGCCGCGCTCGCAGGGGAAGCGTGACGCGGCAGCCAGAGGGTGGGGGCTGCGGCCGACACTCGCTGGGCGCTCCCCCGCGCCTGGATTCCCTGGGCGGCCGCCAGCCCCGCTCAGCCTGCGGGGGCGGAGCGCTGCCTTTTCTGTCCCAGGTAGGAGTGGCCGCGGCCAGGGAGGTTACTCGGCCGCTTTGCTGGCAGCTGTCACACGCGCCCCGCGCCCCGCTCACCTCTCTCCTGTGCTCACCCGAGCGCACGGTACACTCTCGCGCTCTCGGACTGAGCCCGGGTCCTCCGGAACAGCTGCCAGCGAGCAAGCCCCTCCATCCTCCCATCAGAGAGACCACATGGGCCCCGAGGCCACCTGCCCGTGGAGATGCCCCCTGCCTCGCCTCCAGGTGTGGACCTGGATCGAGCCCGTGGTGGCCTCCACCCAGGTGGCCACGTCCCTCTACGACGCGGGGCTGCTCCTGGTGGTGAAGGCATCGTTCGGAGCGGAGACCTCCTCCAACCACAGCGCCAGCCCGTCGCCCCGGGGGGCTCTAGAGGACCAACAGCAGAGGGCCATCTCCAATTTCTACATCAACTACAACCTTGTGATGGGCCTGACGCCCCTGCTGTCCGCCTACGGGCTGGGCTGGCTCAGCGACCGCTACCACCGCAAGATCGCCATCTGCGTGTCCCTGCTGGGCTTCCTGCTCTCCCGCCTCGGGCTGCTGCTCAAGGTGCTGCTGGACTGGCCCGTGGAGGTGCTGTACGGGGCAGCGGCGCTGACCGGGCTGTGCGGCGGCTTCTCGGCGTTCTGGTCGGGAGTCATGTCCCTGGGATCCCTCGGCTCCTCCGAGGGCCACCGCTCCGTGCGCCTTATCCTTATTGACTTGATCCTGGGCTTGGCGGGATTCTGCGGGAGCATGGCGTCTGGACATCTCTTCAAGCAGATGGTTGGGGGATCCAGGCAAGGTCTGGTGCTGGCAGCCTGCAGCGTGAGCTGTGCCGCTTGTGCGCTTCTGTACAGCCTCTTGGTCCTGAGGGTCCCCGAGTCGATGTCCAAGCCCAGCAAGGCACTCCCTGCTGTGGATACCGTGTCTGGCACGGTTGGCACATATCGCACCCTAGATCCTGATGAGCCAGACAAGCAGAGTGTGGTGGAGCACCCTCCGTCTCCTGGGAAAGCAAAGCCCCCAAAAACCATCATCGCCCTGCTCTTCGTGGGTGCCATCTTATATGACCTGGCAGTGATCGGCACAGTGGACGTGATTCCCCTTTTTGTGCTGAGAGAGCCTCTCAGTTGGAACCAAGTGCAGGTGGGCTATGGGATGGCTGCAGGGTACACCATCTTCATCACCAGCTTCCTGGGCGTCCTGGTCTTCTCCCGCTGCTTCCGGGACACAACCATGATCATGATTGGGATGGTTTCCTTTGGGTCAGGAGCCCTCCTCTTGGCTTTTGTGAAAGAGACATACATGTTCTATATTGGTGAGTCTGGCATGCTTGGGGAGGCAGGACAAGAACATTGCTGCCCCTTGCATCATGGGGCTGACACCGGGGATGCTGTGTCTAGGTGTTCCAGTTTAGCACCAGAGATTATACCTGCTACCTAGGAGGTACAAGGGAGATGGAATTATGTGCACTTGAGTTTATCTGTATTCTATTGTATATGGCGTTATCTGTATTGCCCATTGAAATGTCACCAGAGTGGTGTCTATGGCTCTAGGAGTTCAAGGGAGGGGAGGTCAGTGGTGCCTTGAGTTAGTAGGGGAGGCTACAGGATGGCCTTGGATGGGGGAGATGGGATTGGCTTTCTTCTTTTGTTTGTTTTTTCCAAGGAAGATTAGCCCTGAGCTAACATCTGCCAGTCCTCTTTTTGCTGAGGAAGACTGGCCCTGAGCTAACATCCAGGCCCATCTTCCTCCACTTTATATGTGGGACGCCTACCACAGCATGGCTTGCCATGCGGTGCCATGTCCACACCCGGGATCCGAACCAGCGAACCCCAGGCCGCCAAAGCAGAACGTGTGCACTTAACCACTGCCCCACCGGGACGGCCCCTCTTCTCCCCAGTTTTAAAGGGCTAAAACATTAAGAAATCTAGCTGAAAAGGTCCCTTAATTCAAACCATTTTGGGCCAAGAACAGGCTTTTTAAAAATGAATAAAAATTCTCCATAAATCCCTTCCACAACCAATGTCATAAATTCCTTGAAGGAGGTAGAATGAAGTTTCCATCTGAGGACACAGGTCAGAAAATGCAAGCAGAGAGTTCTAGACCAATGCTCCAATAGAACTTTGTACAGTGATAGAAATGTTCTATATCTGTTCTGTCCAATATAGTAGCCACTAGCCATGTGTGACTACTGAGCACTTAAAATGTGGCTAGTACAACTAAACAGAATTTAAAATTTTATTTCCTTTTAATTTAAATACTTTAAATTTAATTAATTTAAAGTCATACGTGGCTAGTGGCTAACATATTAGAAAGAGCAACTCTAGATGGTTACCAGAGGCTGTCCCTTGGCCGAGGTCACACATCTTAGAAAAACACCCAACAAAATGGCAAGATCACCTTTGGCCAGCTCCCCGTTAAACAGGCTGTGTGCCTCTCTTCCCATCACCTCTCCCTCTCCCTCTCTGTCTACACACACACTCACATACATACCGCATCTGGATAATGAATAGGGCTTGAGGAAAGAGGGGTGTGTGGCAGCCGTGTTAGTGGATTTCTGGACGCAGTTTGCCGGAGCTCCTGGACCTAGAGGTGTTCGTGAACGGCAAGGGCAGGCACCTCTCTCCCCAGGGACAAGGAAAGAAACTTTGAGTCACTTCGGTGACGTCAACTCCACTTCCCTAGAAACCACTTAACTCTGCCCGTAAACACACCCTTCACCCTTCCCCATCCATCACCATGTCAACCATGCCTTGCCACCTTGCAGATGGGTCTGCAGCATCTACGGCTCCATCAGAGCTCAGGGAGTCAGCCTGCTCCCAGAAAAGTGCTAGTCTGCCAGCAGAGTAACCCCTTATTCCAGGCCAAGCCACGGAGGGGTTGTGGGGAGAGGGGATTCTAAGTGAGGCTTTTGCTTTGTTCTAATTTACTCTTTGGCCAAGGCTGGGCTAGAGCGAGGAGTGTTCTTGTGTGATTTCTTTCCAGCTCGCGCTATCATGCTGTTTGCTCTCATTCCCATTACAACCATCCGATCAGCAATGTCTAAACTCATAAAGGGCTCCTCTTATGGTGAGTACAAGGAATCTCTCTGAGGTTCTCTGCCCGGACTGTTTCAGAGCTGCTTAGCTTGAGGCACAGGGTTCAGACTTGGTGAAGGCACATGACAGAATTGCAGAAGCAGCCTCTAATACACTAGGAAAACACTGGTGTCCATCCAGGGCAGAGGAAGTGAAAACAGGAGGGTGGGAAAGGCTCAGAGAGTCAGTCACTGAAAAGCTACAGTCAAAGGAAGACGCTGCTATCCATAGGCTGCAGGAAAATCCAGCTGGGTGGAGGCAGGAGTCCTGGTGGAAAGAGCTAGGAAGAATGAGAGGGAGTCCTAGGAAGGGCAAGGGGTCCCTGAGAGCTCCCCAGAGACTCAGCTAGCAGGGAACATGGGAAGGCACAGCAGCACATCTTCTTGGTAACCTCTGTCCCTTCCACAGGAAAGGTGTTCGTCGTCCTGCAGCTGTCCCTGACTCTGACGGGAGTGGTGACATCCACGGTGTACAACAACATCTATCAGCTCACCATGGAGAAGTTCGTCGGTACCTGCTTTGCTCTTTCCTCCTTTTTCTCCTTCCTGGCCATCATCCCAATTGGGTAAGAAGGGAGCAGTGTCTGCTTTTGGGCTGGGGCCCTGGGGCAGAGGTCAAAGACTGTTGGACTATCTCCAGCCTATTATCATAAAGTGTTATTTGTTTTCAGCATTTATGTAGTGGGTTCTGAGTAGGCTCTCTCACAAAGAAAAAGTCCTGTTCCCCCAAACTAATAATCTGGCAATTCCCCAAAGTCCTAAGAAACGAACCAGCTGGCATGCTTCCGGCGGTTTTGTAATACAGTTTATTTATAGGAGCCTCATGTACTTCCTTCTAATCAGAGACTGAGATTAGAAACTCTCTTGAACCACTCAGACCACTTTTGTTTAGCTCCCTTTAGCTCAGTCATCCCGTCTCACTTCTGAGTAATCTTTCATCTGTGTCCCTCTACGGGCTTGGCCCCTGGCGGCGTCTGTGTTCAGTGCCCCTGAAATCTCATGGCCGCTGTGTGAGCTCCCCGTACGACTAAGGCAATTCGCTTGACCTCTCTGGGGGAATTATTTCGTTTGTAAAACAAGAGCACTCAAGTGTGGGAAATAACAGGCAGGAGGAAGGCTGGATGAGCAAAGGAGAGGAACTCCGGTCCCACGGCAAGAGCACTAGCCTAGGTCATCACCAAAATGGACCACATGGAATAGTCTGGTCTTCGGCCAGCCCTGTCCAAGGAAAATATAGTGTGAGCCAAAAGTGCAAGCTACATATGTGATTTTAAATTTTCTAGACGCCGCATTTAAAAACAATAACAGTAACAGGTGAAATTAATTTTAAGACTATATTTGATTTGACCTGGTATAGCCAAAATATGATTTTAACGTAATCAATTTACAAAATTAATCAATGAGATTTTTTAACTTAGTCTTTGAAATCTGGTATGTATTTTATGTGGACAGCATGACTCAATTTGGACTCAATTTGAACACACTTCAAGTGTTCAGTAGCCAATGGAACCGGTGGCTACCATATGAGACAGCACAGCTTTGGACGGTTTAGGTCCTTTGACCCCTCCCCCTTAAGTGAGAATCTCCATGCTTTTATCAATCCCACCAGAGAAGAAAGGAATACAATACATATATCCGCAGTAAGGTACAAGGGATTTGATGTACATGTGCATTTTAAAGGGACCTGCCTGGTAGCACATGAGAGCCCTACCTATCAGTGATAGTGGTATTGTAGGCAGCAGAGCAGAAAATAATTGAAGGCGGGTTGGAAGAAGTGGGGAGTGGATGGCGGTAAGGCCCTTTTCTGAATTCTCACATCACATCATAATATACGTCCCTGACAACATAGAAGCTTGAGCCTCCTGAGATAGGATCCATCCATCATGAAGGCTCTTTGCTTTATTTCATAGTTGAGAAAAATAAGATCAAATAGCTGAGAGAATTTGTGCAAGCAGTGGGCATGATTACTAGTGCTTTCTTGGCTCAGTTTTCATTGTCTCCAGGTGTGGGACTGAGCCAACCCTGTCCTCCAACTTCCCAGCTCTTAGCCCTTTTCACGTGCCCCTGTCTTCATGTGAGTCTTGGCTGAATGAGTTGGGCTTAGCTAGACCTAGCACGCAATGCAGACATCTCAGGAGTCCCAGCTCTTTGTCCAAGTGAGTAATGGATTAGCAGCTGTGCCCCTTGGAAGTGCTCCAGTCCTATTTGATTGGCAGTTGGTTGAAATAGTCTCTTTAACCTAAACAAATAAACAAAACCAAAAAACAACAAAAGAGAACATGTCTGACTAGTTAATGTGTGTCACAGCTAGAGATACAAACAGACAAATGAAAGCAATGAGAAAATACAGTAATTGGTTCCTTTCTAAAGTTTCAAGGCATCATGTGTACTAAGTAGGATGCTTTGCCTTCGTTAAGAGACTTTAGGGCACATGAAGCAGGTGTGCTGCCCTTGACATCTCACCCCAGTGCATTGTTTAACATGCACTTAGCCCCAGTCATACATTCCCTGCACAAATCTTAATTAAGCTGTGCAGGGTATCCATGATCTTACATCAGAGAAGAAGAGACAGAATCTTGAGCCAACAAATAAGTAATTGAGTGCTTATTGGAAGGAGGCACATAAGTAATTGCTAATTGTTTCCCCCTGTTGCAGACATTTAGCAGTAAAGAGACACACGTGCAAATAAAGCCTTGTCCGCTTACATTGGAATCACCTGGAGAGGTTTAAAAATTACTGATGTCTGAATCCCACCCTCAGAGATTCTGACTCAGTTGATCCTGGGTGCAGCCTGGGCACAGGAATTTTAAAAGCTCTCCAGGTTATTCAAAAATACAACCAAGATTGAGCTCTGGTATAAAGAGAGAGTTTCTATTACCTTTCCCTTCCAGAAGTAAATGAGATTCTGAAATATTCTTAGAGCTAGAAGAGGCCAAGGCTGGACCATCAATCATTAAGTGAGAGCAACAGGAAAGACCAGTAGAGCTTTCTATCCACACAAAGGAAAGCTACATTCCAGCAACATAAAAACCCAGGAAGGTGCGTCAGAGCAGGGCAGCAGGGGAGGCCATGGAGGGTAGAAGGCTGAGTGGAGAGGTCCTTGGACCAGAGCTGCCAACAGCCTGTTTGCAAGAAGGGACTGTGACCCCACCCCTTCCTGATACCAAAGTGAGCCAAGTACACATTACTGTGAGAATCTGGCGTCTCCTGCTTGATCTTCTTTACCTGCAGTGGGGAGATGCTGAGAAAATAACTGTCTGGCTCTGCCCATCCACAACCAACTCACCACCCAATAGCTCTCAGCAGCTGCCTCATGCTTCTTAGAGAAAATAGAAGCCATCAGAGAATGTCCTCATCTTCTCCAGAGTAAATCTACAAACCTCCGTTCATTTGTGCCCATCCTATTCTCCTCCCCTCCACCCTCTTTTAAATGATAATAACCAACACTTAGCCCTTATTATGTGCCAGGCACTACTTAAAATATTTTATATATTTTAACTAATTTAATCTTCCCAAACAATCCTCTGAGGTACTTACTATCATTATCCCCATTTTGCAGATGAGGACACGGAGACTCTGAAGTATTCTGTAACTTGCCAAAGTTTACACAGCTGTTAAGTGACAGAGACAGGATTTCAACCCAGGCAATCTCTCTTGTCCACTACATGACATTGCTTCTTAGAAAAGTCGCCGGGTATCTGCATGCCGCCTCTCCCATGTCCTTAGACTAGAGCGCACTGCACTAGTTAGCTGCTGTCTCTCCTGAATTCTACCAGAACCGACACGTGATCTACCACCCTCTCTCTCCTCAACCTCCTCTTTATAACCAACTTCTCCAAAGGCTGGGCTGCACGCGCTGTCTCACGTCCTCACTTCCCATTGACTCTTCAACTCACCAGTCTGATGTGCTCCCTCAACTCCACCAGAGCCGCCCTCACTGAGGCCACTAACGACTTCTTCAAAGCCTAATCCAGTGGACTCACCACAATCCTCAGCCCACATGACTTCTCAGTGGCCACCAACACCGTGGGTCACTCTTTCCTCGGGAGGCACTTGTCACTGTCACCTGGCTTTGTTAACATCTCACTCTCCCGGTTTTTCTCCTACCTCTCTGATCACTTCTTCTCTACAAATCTCCAAATGGAAGAATACTTTGGGGCTCTGCTCTGGGTCATCTTCTCATTTCATATTTTCTCTCTAAGCAATCTGAAGCACTTTCAAAACTTCTAAATACCCTTTAAATTTCCAGAATTGGGCTTTCGATGTCCTAAGCCTGCTCCCCCTCCAGTCTTTCCCATCTCATTAAGTGACACCGCCACTCACCCAGGATAGAAATCTCTCCGTCTTCTTCATCTCCCCACACCTCCAATCCATCAGGCTTTGTTGATTCCACCTCCAAAGTATGCCTCGAATTCATCCTTTTCTTTTTATTATTACAGCTACCACCCCTAGTCCAAAGGACTTGGATGACTGAATTAGCCTATGTACCATTCTCCCCTCCTCCACTCTGTTCCCCTCCTGTCCTTTCTCCACCAGGTAGCCAGAGCAATTTCCTTAAAGTGTAAATCAGATCATGTCATCTCCCGCTCAAAGCTCTGCACTTGGCTTTCACTGCCTTTAGAATAGAACCCAAATGTCTTACCATGGACCACAAGGTCCTACATGATCTGGCCTTGCCAACCTCTCTTGCTCCTATTCCTGCCACTAACCACTCTTCCCAACTCTGCTTCAGCCCTAGTAGCCTCCTTTTATGCTCTTTCCCATTCTCACCCATACCTCTTTCTTAACCCAACTAGTCGTGGTCTTAACTTAAACACCATTTTCTCAAAAAGGATTTGAGAAAATCCCCTTCTCAATCTAAATTAAATCCTATCATATCCTCTGAAAGATTCCTATACTTTTCCTTCAGAGCATGACAGTTGATAATTACTTAGTGATTATGTGTTTCATATGCTTGCCCACTAGCCTGTAGGCTCCCTGAGGGCAGGAACCATGACTGTTTGACTCGCCACATATCTTCTGTCCAGCAGAGAGCCCAGCATGTAAGAAGTACTCAAAAAGCATTTGTTTAAGGAATGAATCATCTGCCAGATCTGACACCTACTAGCCAGCACCGCTGACCATCCACATTCCAGAGCTGCCTGTTGGCGGACCATGAAGTCAGGGGCTGGCCATCACCACGTGGCTGTGCTGTGGTGGTCCACAGTAGGGGTCTGCTGTGGAGTCAGGGTTGCATCCTGGAGTTCACTGGGTCCTGGGCTGGCTGCCTCCAAGTCTTGACTCTCCTCTTGCCAATTTTGTAATACAATGAGTTTTAAGCACAGTAAGTGCTGCTCCCTGTAGAGCTCATGGAAGGTGGGAAATCCATGTTTGGAAGTTTCCACAAAGCTTTCCCTTAGAGGGTTTGGATTTAAGCTCGTACCCCATCCAGCAGCTCCAGGCGCTACGCATCAGTCAGGAGGAGCTATGCTCTAGCTTACAACCTGGGCTCAAAGAGCTCAAACATGAGAAACTGAAGGCCCAAGAGGTTGAAGGACATGCCAATTGTCACACAGATCCAAGACTTCAACTCAGAGCTCCTCATTCCTAAGCATCCAGTCACCTACAAATATTTTAAAACAATGTAATGATGATTTATGGAAGAGATAAAGGGGTTGTGGGAAGACAGAAGATGAGGCAGCTAATTCTGCTTGGGATTAGCGAATCTGGGCTTGAGATACATGTGGCAGCTCATCATCAAGCAGAAATGAAATGGAAAGAGATTTCCGGGAAAGGAAAATGTAGATGCGAAGGGCTGGAGATGTTATGGACTGGAAGGAGCCTGAGTGACAGAAGTTCCCTTGGGCCATCTCGCTCCACTCAGTACAGCATTCTGACGACGGAATGGATAAAGGCTCTCAGTCTACTAGTGATAAAGAGGTGGCTAGAGACCTCCCTGCCATCAGTGGAGAGGAAAAGGCACCCCCTCTGCCCCGTTCCAGCTGTTCTCTTGTAATTCTCTATTGTAAATTCTTACAGCATCGTGGCCTATAAACAAGCCTCATGGTTGCAATATGGAGACATGACAGAGAAATGAAGGTGCTGACCTGCGGGAGCTGAAAACCCCAGCAATGGCCGGGACCAGGAACTGGTGACCAGAGCAGCCCACTACCCAAGAAACCCAAGTTCCAGCCACAGTCGGCCTCAGAATGACCTGCTCTGGCTCAGGGGTTCCTGGTGGGTGGGGAAAAGCACTTTCCTGGTGATGGAAGAACTTGCTGAGCTTTCAGACATTCCTGTTAGGCAGAAGTTAGGTTCTGTGGGCAGTAGAGTATGAACTTTCAGGGGTTATGCATAGCCATACCAGACGCTATAAAGGGCTTCAGACAGTAGCCCTCTCCTGCCAGGCACTGCCTCAGGGCTCCAAGGTCTGGCTAACTAGTCACCTGGGTGCTGTGCTAAGGGTCCCCTGTGAGAACTCAAACCCAGGCACGCATTTTCCACAGCCTGAGGGCAATGTGGAAGGCATATTTTGCAAGAAGTGCCAACAGTGAACATCGGTCAAGATTTTTAAATTAAAATAAAACCTTGAAAAAAAGTTATTTTTCTTCCCTGAGGCCTTGTGAGCTGTGAACACTGAGGAGGGATATGAAGCTCAGGTTCTTGGCATCAGGGTAGTTTTGTTGTCATTGTTAGTGTTGTTTTTTTTAAAAAAAGCAAATATCAAAACTCTTTCTCCAATGGAATATTAAATTGAATACTTTCAGTCAACAATACTTCCCAAAGTGAATGGTGTGAAGGAAGAGAGAAAAGGAGATATATTTAGACCCATTTTATTTTGAGGTGGCCTGTTTCACTTACGTATATAAAAGCAGACTCATCTCCTAAATAAATCAACATTCACAGTATGTGTATGAATCCTTCTCTCCCAGGTCAGCTTCCTTCCATAACTACAGACATGGCATTCTTCTACTGGGGTAAAACGTGAAGCTAGAGAAGGCATTTAAACCCCAGAGCATTTGGGCTCAGAGAGTTGCTCTCTCTGATCCCTTGGAGGGAATGAACAAAACTTTATGGCCCCGGCACCATGCTAGGTGCTGCGACAGAGCGAGAGCATGACTGGTCCTGCCCTAAGAGAGTGTATTGTCTAGCAGGTGGAGCAGACAGAACAGCAGACAATGATATAGCCTATAATACTAACACAAGGGAGCGTATCATCCAGATTTAGGAGAGCAGGGAGGGCTTCTCAGAAGAAGTGGCATATGATAAGACTGGAAGGATAAGGAGTTACCAAGGCTGGAAGTTGAGGGACATTCCAGGCAGAAAGACCAACATGCTGGAAGGCCTGAAGGTGAAAATATCCCAAGATATAGGAATTCAATGTGAGGGGAGCTAAGAGGGAGGAAGGGAGAGGTATAATGGAGGAGAGAATCAAAAGAGGAGACCAGAGTCATAAGGAGGAACAACATAAAATAGAGCCTTTAAAAAAAAGCTTTCTTTAGAGTAATGGGGATAGGGGCCGGCCCCCTGGCCACGTGGTTAAGTTCGCGCACTCCTCTGCAGCAGCCCAGTGTTTCATCAGTTCGAATCCTGGGCGCGGACATGGCACCGCTCATCAAGCCATGCTGAGGTGGCATCCCACATGCCACAACTAGAAGGACCCACAACTAAGAATATACAACTATGTACCGGGGGGCTTTGGGGAGAAAAAGGAAAAAAATAAAATAAAATCTTTAGAGTAATGGGGATAGCTGCTGAAAAGTTTTAAGCAGGAACACGGAATGCTTCCATTTGTATCTTAGAAAGAGCACTCTGGCAGCACTGAGAACGAATTGGTGGAGGACAGAAAGGAGACAAGCTGGAAGATCCTTGCAGTAATCCAGGTAAAGGACAATGGTGGACTGACATTGAGTAAGAAGCTATGAGGATGGAGAAAAGTAGATGGACTTGGAGAAATATTTGGAAGCTAGGGGTCAACAGGAGTTGATGATGGATGGACTGTGGAGGGTGAGGTAGATGGAGGCAAGAATGACTCATATTTGGGGTTCAGGCAACCAGGAAGAAAGCAGAGCCCCTCACTGAGACAAGCAACATGAGCAGAGAAGGTAGGCTGAGGAAGATGAGTTCAAGGCCTTGCTCCACATCACTAAACTCTCACCAGTATGCTCTTTCCTCTTGACTCCTTGCCTTTCACCTCAGCCCCTGACCAGTTTCCCAACCTAAATGAATCTAATCGTTGGCTTCTCCACTCCTGCTCCTGAAAAGCTTGCTCTCAACATCTAGAAAAATTCCCTTACTTGTTCACATGGACCCTGCCATTGACCTTGTGGATTTTACCCCGAGTTGGGCTCTCAAAGCTCTAGTATTAGCTCCTTTTCCACCCCACCTGTCACCAGGTAGCAGTTTCGAATCCTCTCTACTCTCCCCAGGTCACTGCTTCTTCTAACAACTGTTAGAACAACTGTTCTAACCCAGTGGTTCTCAAAGTGTGGTTCCTGGACCAGTGGCATCAGCCACCCCTGGGAACCTGTTAGAAAATGCAAATTTTTGGACCCCACTCAAATCAAACTCTAGGGATGGGGCCCAACATTTGGGGTTTTCACAAGCCTTCAAGCTTAAGAACTACTGTTCTAATCTATGGGTCAGACTTTTTCTCCTGAAGCACTTGGCCTGAGTCCCCCCCCCCCCCCCACCCCCGCATCCTTAATTCTTGAGGCCCTGCAAGCCCTGTCCTTGGTTCTCTTCCCAAGTAATCTAGTTTTCTCCCATGGACTCCAGAACTCTCTTTCCAACAATCTACTCAACATCTTCACCTGGATCTCCTCAAACATAAATCCCAACCAAATTCTTCTTCTCCAACCCACCATCTAAGCCTACTCCATCTTTTATATTTTTCTCCTGATTGATTTCATTTTTCAGTTAAGGGCATCACCTCCCAGCTCCCAGGCTGGAAATCTTCAAATCTTCTCTCACCCCTTCCCCTCACCTCAGAGATCCCTTCAATCCACCAGCCTTTATATTACATCTTGCCACATCTTTTGCTATCTGCTCCCATCTATTCCATAGGCCTTCAGTCTGACCACAATCCTCTAGCATACTATCTCCATCGTCTTCTTAAAAAGAAAACAGTTAAAAAAGGTATATCCCGCTTTTTAATTTTCAATGGCCAAGTATTCAGGAAGGATTATGATGGGAATATCTTTAATATGTAAGTTGGCCATATCTAAACAAGTAATAGGAAAGGTCTTCCCAGAAGGGCAATCACATAATGAGTGCCCAGCAGACACTTAGGTCTTTGTATACATTATTGCTAGTCCTATGGGCAGCCCTTCACGGAAGGCATGTCTTCATTTCAAAGATACTGAAGTTCAGAGAGATGTGGCTTGCCCAAAGCCACATAGCTAGCGAGCCGAAAAGCTAAAATTTCATCCCAGACCTTTTTCTCTTATCCCACCCTGCTGCCTCATTCTGTGTGACTCCAGTCTTATATTCATGATGTCTACTATCAGCAAGCCAAGTTCAGTACTTGGTTTAACTTCATTTCCAGTCCAATGCCAACATTAAGTAAGCTTAACCAAGCATTCTGGTCTCTTAATTTGCAACACTAACACTCTAATGAACCACAGACATTTCTTCTTTCCTTACAGATTTTTTTTAAACATCATAGCAGTCAAAAAAAAAAAAAAAAATCAGGAAATGTCTGACCCTGACTCACAGGATAATGTTGTGCTTTGCTCTGGGATGGAGCAGGAAGAAATCCTTCATGTAATTACCTGGGCTGGCTCCCAGCCGGCCCACGACTCACAGTGGTGTATTATGCTTACGTATAAACACTAGGTAGTTTCTTCATCTCCCCAGATCGGTGCCAACTTATAAAAGGTAGAAGGAGGTAAATTGAGGATGAGTCTATAAAGAAGTGAAGAAGAATAAAGATAGTTCAATTACATTTTTTTCCTGTTGCTCTGTATTACCCTGATTCTTGCAGGCAAACCGTTACCTCTTTAGAGAAAATAGGAAAACAGAATAAGAGGCACGTATGTTTTCCCGTCCTATAAATTGGTACAAATGAGAACGACTCAAGGTAAAGAAAGCATCTTTTATAGGTTTATTGGTCCATTACTTTAAGTTAATTGAGGTAAAGAAACCTTTTTAAATTCACAAGCTAATAGTTTATCAAGCAATACAAATTCTTTTGTTTACCTCAAAATGTAATACTAATCCCATAGTAAACAACAGACAATTTTTATACACAGATATATGAAAAAAAGTGGACAAAAACCTCGTGCCAGCATCAAAAATGCAACAAAAACTTTTTTTTTCTTTTTACAATCTCTGGGTTCCATAACAAGGAAAACATAGAGGACATTCTTTTTAAAGTTTGGTGGCTTGATGAAACAAAGACTTGAATCTGTCAATAAATCCCTTTCTCCTCGACACCCATTCTCCAGAGCATTTGTTTTTCACAGCTTTTGATTCGGCGTAATGGCAGCATGGCGAGAAGAGAACACATCTACACGGAGAACTTCATTGATACCCCAGAAGGTTTTTAAAAAATTTCGAATGTAAAGGATGATTTCTAAAAATAAGAAATACAGTCCATCATTTGGACAGGACCTAAGCAAGTTTTTCTCTCTCTTTCAAGAGTTAAAATACAAGTTAGAAAGTTTGCTGGCAGTTTAGTTCAATGGGAAGCTACCAGATGTGCGTCATCTCTCAAGGCATTCCCAACTCAGACACCAAGGGAACAGGCACACAGAAGTACAAGGGACAGGGTGTCTACTGGACTGGACCAAAACCACAGGGGTGTCCAGGTGAATGGTGTTGACTGTTAAGAGCTGGTGGTCTGTTATTTGGTGAAGGCCCAGCTGACACAGGCATCGTTCTGTCATACTGATTCACATTTTTGTTTGCAATCTACTTTCCTCTCCCCATTTCCAGAGTGAGGAAAAAGCAATCTCTGTTTCTTCCTCCCAGTATCATTTGTGAATGGAGGGTTGGTCTTGACTGTGAACCAGTCCGTCATACGGGGGTGTTGACAGGGGCGACCTGCTCTGACCCAGCCTACAGGGAGCCCAGAGTCACCTGGGGAGGGCGGCGCTGCTGGGCGAGGTGCATGTGCCACACCCAATCACTGGTTTTAATAGTACAAGCTCTGTTAAAATAGACTAAATTATGTGAGTCAACACAACATGCTTTATGTTTTTGGCATTTCAACCTGTGGAGCATTTCTATCCAACATATGCTGCTCTGAAGCCCCCACAGTATGCTTTCAAAAGCTGTTCTGCAGAATCGGAGTAAACCTTTAATATTGTCATAATCTATAGAGTTCCTTATAGCTATGTGATTTGTCAATGCTGATACCATACATCCTCTACAATCAAAAGCGTGCCAAAAGGCACTAAAACACTTTAAAACAAAAAAAGGTTTTGTGGTCCCTGTGTTTCCTTACATTATCAAAAATATCATTTGGCAATAGCAATACTTAGCTTTCTCCTCCCAAAAGGCAGCCCTTATTATGAACCTCACTTTGTTTGTTTCTTTGAGAGGACTGAGGACCGGCTATGTTAGACCTCTGGTACTGAAGCTGAACAACTGGCTACATTTCTAAAAACTTCCTATCCAGAACCTAAAAGACACTAGCTGAAGAATAAGGCATATTAATAGGTGTTGACAGATTCTCAAAAAGTTGAGTTAGGCTTTTAACAGTCTGTGGCATTTTTGAAAAGTCTGGATTTGTTGATTTTCAAGTGCTAAATACACAGAATGTTTACATTTGAGACAAATATCTTATTGGTTTGTTAAAGTTATTTTTTCAAAGCACTTATTTATAGCCTATCTGTAGTAGTAAAAACTATCAGGATTACATATTTTTCTGCAACACAGAAGGGGTTAGACAGCCATACCCAGA